ATTCAATTTCTCATTTGAGTCGATTACAGTTAAAACCCCGATATAAAAACATCCCCCATACACCCCCTGTAATGCGATAGCCCAGGAATGTCCTCGGCGGTATATCTAGCGTGTTAATCTAGCGGGTATCGCATTGTCGACTACAGTGTTCTCTCTTGTTTTGCTTGCATATTTCTTCTATGATATTTCTTTGCTTTTTCGCGTATTTTTATCGTCGATGAGAGTTGTTGTTGCTTTTTGCATGGGTCAGAAGTTCGTGGCGACGGCTGCCCCTCACGTTGTATGCGCTACCCATTCGATTGGGGAGAGAGTGTGCGCGAGATGCTATGCCGCCATAATGCGCATATGCAGCTGGAGCAACAGTTGTTCTGTTCCCATGCAGGAAACCCATATGCCCCACGTCAGCGAATGAAGCGCATCAATGCAGAGAGAAAGAGAAAGGTGAACAAGAAGTATTCGAGGGGGTGGACAGGGAGAAGATGAAGAAGAGTGGCATGATGCAGATTATGGAGAATAAGTTCAACAATATCAATTGCATGGTAGAGAGCCAAGGTCCATGTGGCTGAGGTCGGGTCGGGACAACGAAGGACACTAACAAAAGGTAAATTAAAAGGGAGTACATATGTATGTATGTACATATTCATGTACATATTTTAATTGCAATAATTTCACAAAATGACGATGATGGATGGTGAAGGGAGGAAAGCGAATACTAAGAAAAAAGAAAATGGTGCAAGGCATGGCAATAAGGGAGGAAAACGAAGAAGAGAAGGGGAAATAAGAAGTCCATGCGAATAATAAATAAAAAGCAACTAAAGCAGCAAAGAGCGGAGAAAGAGAACTGAGGAGAGCGAAAAGAATTCTATGACACGACATGAAAAGAGGAAATGGCAGAAAAGCAAAGAGTTCATAAAGGGGAGGAGAAGTAAATACATACATACATATGTACATAGCCAATCTATGTGAAAAGAAACCATGTACTGCGAAGAAGAAGAGAAGAAATTGCGGAGCAGATTTAAGGATGGTGAAAATTCGAAGAAAGAACATTGAAGAAGATCTTGGAAAAGGAATAAGAGAAGAAGGGAGAAATTCGAAGGAGAAGATTCATGAGTATTTGATGCCCACCTTTTCTCTCTGACTTTTCATTGCTTTCCAGGTATTTTCTTTGCTGTTGCCTCTTTCTCTTTCCGCTTCTTCAATGCTTTCCGGGCGCATGTCTCTTCTTCGCTTCGCTTTCCTTTCCTCCCCTTTCGGATTCTTCGTTGCTAATTGGGAGAATGGTAGGGAAGAGAACACAAAGAAGAGACGAGTAGGTAGTGCACGATGACAACGACGATGAAGCCAAGGTCTGGAAAGGCCAGCTGGCAGAAGGGCCTGTCAATCGAGTGAGGAATGGAATGGGTGGATGGGGGCATTGAACAGAGCACACGCAGTGAGGCCCCGGCCCCGGTCAGCCCGCTGAGAGAGCAGAGCGTCGGCAGTGGCAGAGGCATAGATAGAGAAGGAGGAGGAGAGAGCGAGCAACTGCAGCAGAGGCGAATGAAAGTGCATAAAGCAGCTAAGTAAATGCTCTGTCCGTATATGTATTAATGTGTATATGTATATATGTATGTATATATACATGTTTGTGTGTGTGTTGCAAACTAACTAAGCACGTCTCTTCTTTTTCGATTTCTCGAATTCTCTCTATTTGCAGTTTTTGGTGTTCTTTTTTTGTTATTGCATTTGCATATATTACAATGCCAAGATATTGATAATCAAAAGATGGTGGGGATTCTGATAATGGAGCCACCCAGTTAAAAGAGTTAAAAGAGAACGGTGAACAGTGGACGGTAGACGGTGGACGGTAGACGGGGGGGGGTCAGGTGCTGCTGGCCGTGGGGGCGCACTAGCACAAGCAGAAAACAAAGTGCATGTGGGAAGAGAGAAGAGCGGTGGGTTGGAGTGGTGTGTCCGCGGATGTCCGGCCCCCATTGATTGGCCGAGAAAAAGAGACAGCAGAGGAGAGTGAAAGATAAACTAGAGCATTTTCAGATTTCTCTAGAAGCTTCCTGCTAAGAGATTAAGAGAAAGACCTTTTATTAGCCTTAGAAATTAATTTAATGAATCCTTTAGGAATGATGATAAGACGCTATCATTTATATATCTACAAATGTATGTACATAATGTATGTAGGAACTATGCTAGCTTCAACTGTTATATCAGAGATTGAATCTTTATACATATGTACATATGTATGTACTAAGTATGTACATTGTACAGACCGACTCGCTTTCAAATGTTTGAATAGTTTTAGTTTTTTAGCTTCCCAATCATCTTGATGATCTCACGAAGGGAATCTGCCCAATGTAGCCCTGGTCGGGGGCGATAAACCATGTTCGCAGCCCTCGTTTGTAGTGGGGCCTATTCGTAAATTCCTCCACCCCTCCACCTCACTCATAGCAACAAACTCCCTTCCCCTAACTACACTGTACGAGGAACTTTGCCAAAATCAGAGCATTGGCAGGGGATGCCCATACCCCGCTTCTTCATTGCCTGATTGATACATACACACACACACATCCAGAGAGTGAGAGAGAGAGAGAGAGAGAGAAAGAGACACCCACCCACCACCACGCACACACACACACACAGGCAAGCACACGCATGCATGGACATGTTTAGGCATGTTTACATAGCAAAGCGTGAACGAAACGGGGCCTCGCTTGGCGTTCGCTTTTCTCTGCTCTTCGCTCGGGAATGGCACTCGTCTGCAGCCAGCGACAGCGACGCAGTGGCCTTATCTGTGTGAGTGCGTGAGAACACCCATACCACTCAATGTATATATCATACATACGTCCGTACATGCATATAAATATATATATATATATGTACATATGTATATATACATATATGTAAAAAAATGTGTATGTACAGGCTGACGAAATAATCAAATTCGACGAATTACGGGAATGCCCATGGGTGCCCTCGTGAACAGCTGACTAATTAGCAACGATTTCATTTCAAAATCCAAGTACCCGCCACAAAAAAAGAACAAGATTTAGGCCAAAAAGCTGAGCTTAAGAGAAGAACCTGAATATACATACATATTTATGTACATATGTAGAGAGTGGCCCTGGACCAGGGCCCTCCAGCTAATTAAATGTTTCTCTTTCTACTTCTTTTGGGTAAATGCTTACAGCAGAGCGACCTTTTCTGAGCTGCGCAGCCAACACGTACATGCACAGATAACCTTACATATACACATATATTATGTATATATGTATGTGTGTATGTATACAGACCCAGCTGACACGAAGCGGCATTCGTTGGTTGCTTTGCAGTGGTCTTCTCTGGTCCCCGTCCTGAAGCGGGGCCTTTCCTGGCCTGGCCTGGCCTTAGCGCGCGAATACCAAAAACTTCTTGCATTCACCCACGCGGCCGACTGAAAGAGATGGGGCGACAGGGAGATGGAGCTAGAGAGAGTGTTAGAGGAGTGAAAGAGATAAAGAGAGTGGGAGAGAATGGTTGGCAGTGGGGATTGCCTGGTGCATAGCCGGAAGAGGATGGGGGAGGGCTAACCGCGGCTTGGTGTTGCCAAAAATAGAGGAGCCCTCCCCCCTCACCAACAACACACATCCCGCCCACGGGGCACTCACAACCCACATCGCCTCCACCAACACCACGTCCTCCACAACATGGGCTCTGACCCAAGCAAGCGTCCGACGTCTGTCCGACGTCAGCTCTCTTCTAGCTGTTCTTCTATGTGAGTGTATGTGTGTTTATTTGTGTGCGAGTGTGTGTGTTGTAGGAGTGGGGGGGTGGAGGCTCTTGTACATAGCTTAGGCTTTCCTTGCACAGTGGTGACATGTGGGTTCAAAAAGGTGCTAAAGATAGGGGAAAATGTGAACAGTGGGAAATTCGAAAGTGTAGTTTGGTTATCTTTAGATACAATTAAGTTGATGGATGTGATCCTAAGTAAGAAAAATGTGAATATTTTACAAAAGAAATTTTCCTTAAAAAAGCAACTAAATTTTAAAGGTTATGTCTATTTTAAGAGGTTTATAGTTAAAAGAGAAAAAAATAATAATGGTAAAACAAATTGTATTAAGCTAGCGGAACATTCGCCTGACTTTGTTCCATATATGTACATATGTATATATGTATGTATATGCACTTGACTATAAAATATCGTAAATAACTATCAATGTGGGTGGGTGTAACATTGAGTAGAAAAGTCCGTCTTAAGTTCAAGGATACTTACATACATACATGTGTACATATGTTTGTATGCATGTAAGTTGGAATGTTTATCCGATTCGAACCACTGTAGGTGTAACATCTAGCCAGCGCTCTGCTCTGCTCTGCCCGGTACGTCGTCACAGTCGACGATGCCGCTTAGAGCTAGACGGAACGGAACGGTAGATGGGGGTGGGTTGTAGAACAGGGAGAAATAGCAGAAGAGCGGTGAGGGGAGCCAGAAGAAATGCACAACGTGACTCAAGGTGTCTGTTGGGAGAGGGGGGGATTTGCCGAAGGAACCTGGAACATGGACAGCAAACGGAGGAGCAGAGAAGAAGCAGCAGCAGCACCAATTCGGCAAAATGTTCGTTCCGTTGCATGCCCTCGGTCGCTGTTGCAGCAGCAGCAGCAGCAGGTCTGCTTTTGCTCTGTGTAGTTTTGTATTTTTTCTTTTTACTCTATATTCGTACGTATGCACACGTATACATATATATGTGCATGCATATATATATATATATATATGTATGTACATATATATACTTAAATATATGTAGATATATATTTCACCGCATACACACAAAGCTGCTGCGCTGCACTGTCGCTGTCGCTGCCTCAGCCTCAGTCACAGCTGGCGTCAACGCCGCAGTCCCTCCCGCTAAAAGCGCTGTCTCACAAACTGTGTCTTTCTCACTCTCTCGTTCTGAGTGTGTGTGTGTGTGTGTGTGTGCCGCACACATTTTTCAGTTGACTTCGTTGAAATAATTTTCGTAACAACGATCACACTCGTTTGTTTATTGCGAAGACGGGAGGACGTTGTCGTCGTGGCACTCGTACAGTCCGCAGAGTGAGAGAGCGAAACGCAAACGCGAAAAAAAGTCAGCAGCCGCAGCAGAATAGTAGTGTTATTTTGTTAACTTTTTTTTTTTGGTTTTTTAAAATACCAAAACCGCGTCACCCTTGGCTGTCACGTGTCTGTGTGTGTGTGTGTGTGGAAACCCACATAGAATTGTTACACCTTGAAGTGAATAAATATAAAGATTGCAAACTAACAACAAATGGTTGAGCGGATCATCCAGAAAATTGGTTATAGTATTTTTTTTTTTGTAACCAATCTGAAGTAAAATCATTGAAAAATCATGCAACAAAAGCAACAACAGCAGCAGCAGCAGCAGAAGTCACAGTGTGTTTTGTGTAAGAGTGGGCGGTGATAAATAATATATAGTAAATGTAAATAGACGTTGTGTATGTCCCGAAATTTGTGTGCATTTGTGTGTGGAGATTGCAAATTGAATGAAAAATGCAACAAAAATTACAACAACCAAAAAGCAACAACAATTACAACGGCAAAAACACCACAAACAACATAAAATACCAACAACAACAAAAACTGCCAAAAGTGCGCGCTCGAAAGAAACAGCACGACACACACACACTCGCAGCGAGAGAGAGAGAGAGAGAGATTGAGAGAGAAAACACCAAAGAAACATCACGTTTCAGACGTTTACTTGCTTGTGTGCGTGTCCAGTGTGGCCATATCTGTGTCAACTGTGTGCGCTAAAGACAGAGAGAGAGAGTGAGGGAGAGCGCGCATACCGGCCACTAAAAGTGTGGCCGCCCCTCTTTCCCACGTATGCCAGGTGCCCATATGTGTGTGTGTTGTGTTTGTGTGTGTGTGTGAGTGTTTCTCTAACAAAACGTCATCAACTGAGTTTGAGTGTGGCAGAGAGAGAGTGCTGTGCATTAACTGTTTTTTTTAAGTGTGTTTTAACAGAATTATCTTTTCTGATTCTTCCTTTAGCCACTGGGGGGAAATAAACAAATAAAACGAGTAAAATCCCTTACAAACAAAACCAAACAACGGGAGTGTGTGAGAAAGAGAGCAACGAGCAACGCTGCCACAAGGGGAGAAAGAGAAAAAAGAGATAACAACAGAGAGCGTGCAACATCCGCGTCATGTCGGACGAGGATGTGCAGATCACCAGCGTCGTGGACGCCAACGGCCAATCACTGCCGCTGCAAGGCAACAGCCTGGGCGGCACCCCTGGCACCGTCAAGCAGGAGCGTCCTGACGATGCCGAGATCCGGGAGCTGGCCGCCAAAATTAAGGAGCAACAGAAGCACCAGACCGCTCAGCTGGCCAGCCGCCAGGCCATGCAGCACTCCAATGGCGCTGGCTCTGGCGGCGGGGCCATGCAGCCGCCCATCACCAACGGCAATGGACAGACAAACATCATGAGCTACTTGTCACGACACCAGAAGCTGCCCAACGGTACCATGCAGGTGGTGCCCGCCCTGGCCCCCAACGGACAGCGGGCCAACGGATCGGTGCTGATACAGAATCAGGCCGCTGGCGCAGGCGGCGGAGAGGCCGCTGAGAAGAAGTCATCCTCGGGCGGGCCGTGCGACGAGGAGTCGATCATGGGTCGCTTCGGGTGGGCCCAGTTCGGCAAGGTCTCTATCCCGTACATCTACCGGCAGACGGAGAAGTACTGCTCGGTGCGGATGATCGAGCTGAAGCTCCTCGGCAAGTACCTCAACTGTTTGCACCCAGACATCTACTCGAGCTGCACGTGCGTGCGCAGCTACTATATCACAGACTCGGAGGCGCGCCTCTTCATCGAGGTGAACCACAAGCACTGCGACGGCGAGTTCGGCCGCGACATATTCACGCAAAAGGATCTGGTTGTGCGGCTTGGCGACGCCTCCAAGTTCTTCCAGTTCCTGGACATCTGCTACCGAAAGCTGGTGACCGGCAGCAAGACGCCCTCGGAGAAGTGTGGCTTCATCCGGATCAACAAGGAGTCCGTCGTCCCGTACACGGTGCGCAACAACCAGCAGGTGGTGCCACTCTTTTACTTCGAGGGCGAGACGGAGAACCTCAAGACCAAGGCGGAGCTGCTCAACGGCTGGGACCTGGCCTACCTCAAATTCTGCTGCAAGGTCCAGGGCATACGCAACGAGCTCTTCTCCAGCGAGAACGTCGCCGTCATCTCGCTGACGGACATCAAGAGCTACTTCCCCAACGGCACGGAGTTCGAGGACTACTGGCCAAGCAAGGTGGTCGACTCCAACCTGCTCATTGGCAATCGGGCCAACGTCAACAACTCCGTTAACTGGACCCGCCAGCCCTCCGCCCCGCCCCCAAAGATCACGACCACTGTGAACACAAACTCCTCAAGCAACGCTGGCACCGCCATCAGCAACAACAACAACAACAGCGGCGCCAGTGGTGCTGGCGGAGGGGTGGTGGGGTAGGCCGGTAAAAAGTCCCAGCAGCACAGCTCGGGCGTGACGACAGCTGCCGCACAGCAACTGATAAAGCAGCGCGCGGCGGCTGCGGCCAACGCCAACGGAGTCTCAAATGCCAGTGGCTTCGGCGCCTCGCAGGCAGCGGCGGCAGCAGCGGCCTTCAATACCCAGGCTGTCGCGGCGGCAGCGTCGGCAGCGATGATGCAGCAGACAGCGGGCAACAACCGCATGCTCTCGCAGGCGACGGTGCAGGCGCTGGCCAGCAGCGGCTGGATGTCGGGGCAGAGCAACCTGCAGCTGCACGCCCAAATGATGGTGAGTACCGATTGGTATCCTTTGTCGGACACTTTATTCGTTACCGATCACATCCGTCACCCCCGATACCTTATTGGCGCCCATAGTAGAGCGGGAAAGTCAACGGAAACATCGGAAAAGGCTCATCCCTAAGTTTGCAGCAAAGCAGCAACGTAGGCGCTGCTCCCCCAGCTCAACTGGAAGTCAAGCTGTCGTAAATATATATTTATCTTGCTCTCACTGCAGGCTTTTCCCATGAGGCTATCTCTGTTTTCGCAGTTAGTCCGTTATGGTGTTATGACATTAGACTTTGCTAACTGACTAGCTGCCAAAATTGAGATAGCCTTATGGGAAATGCCTGCAATCAGAGCGAAAGATATATATATATGCAGAAATTATGTACTTTTCAGAAACAATTTTTCTGGCTTTTTTGGCTGTGTTTGCTGGAAAACATAATTTTGTCTCAAGTAGTGTTCAGTAGAGGTGTCTAGAGTCGTCTCTTATGCTATCGCTCTCTCTCTCTCTCTCTTATCAGAGTCTAATGTCATATGGCCATAGAAATTATCGGCAGAAATGATCGATTGTTACACTTTTCAGATCCAGTGTTAGGAAACATAATTTTGTCACAAATAGTGGCCCAGCTCTTCGTCTGATAGCCGGGAGACGTCTACAAACACTAATTTTGTGTGTTTGTCACGTGCTCTCGTCGCAACAAATCATAATTTCATAGCTACCATAATAATGGCCATATGACATTAGACTTTGCTAACTGACTAGCTGGAAAAGTAAAGATGGCCTTGTGGGAAATGCCTGCAGTCAGAGCGAGAGAAATATATGAGTCCAGTTGGCTTTCCAGTTGAGCTGAGAGAGACGGCTGCGAATAATAATGTTGCATTTTGTCTCTCATGCTATCCCTCTCTACGCAAAAACAAAACAGTGTAACCGTAGTAGATGTGCATGCACCTGGTCTCACTCTTCCGTTAGCGAAATTTAAATGAAACTTATGCCAGCTAAAAAAGGAGCGTAATTAGACTCTGTCCATGTGGACTCTCCTCCTGGCATGGCAACCGTGAGATATTGGTTGATCTGATTTAAACATGGCGGACGGGATGCAACGACGATTAACTTAAATTATGGTGATGGTGAGCAAACAATTGGACAGCCAATGACATTGGGAACTAGGTAAGGGGATCTAGGGATATTAGGGATCTGAATAAGGTATCGACCGATGGGTCCCGATATTGCTCGAACTCAAACAAAACAAACAAACATCCATCAAATTGGCTTAGAACCAATGTTCTGTGGTAGCATATTTAATGATTTAAAAATGAATGAAAAGGCTCGGTGGCAATTTCATCAATGAAAAAGGTAGATTTTGAGGACATCGAGATAAGCTATTACACATTTGGAATATTGGGAAATTGTGGAAACAAATGCATTGGGCTACATATGTATGTATAAACAAACAGATAAACCAAATGCAATTCAAAATACATATACATACACTGAAACGTAGCAGTGGACCAAAATTGCAGGGCCATCGATTATTTTTCCAGTTCTAGACCATGGCCCAAAAAAGGTTAGATTAGCGTCAGATAATTACAATTACGATGCACAAGTACGAAGGGCTAGAAAATGGTATGATATCACAGGGGCGGCGCACATTATTCGCACAAAAGATAAATAATCTGTTCTTGTAGTCCGTCTAGACCTAGGCATGCTACATGCTATACTTCTAAGAGTACCGCTTATAGAAATGGTTATTGGTGCACAATGCCTAGATAGGGATGAGCATTTATTGGCTTCAGGTGAGCCCCGATCGAATAGAGATGATTCGTGTTTGGTTATAGACCAGGGGGGTCGGCACGGTCCTATCTATTGTGCATGGGAAAAGGCGCTGCTGCTGCGCTGCCGCTCACGTACACGTGCATTACAGTTTTTCCTGCTGTATACGCACACAGTCGCACTGCAGAACATTTGATTGAGTGCGTGCCTACCACTGTTATATATGGTTACGACAACACACATTCATACACACATACATATGTACTTAACATTGTTATTATTGTTAGTAATTAAGAGTAAGGGAAACAGGATCTATCATTTCCAAACCAATGCTGGATTGGATATTCCACATTTGTAGGGGTCAATATCTATTCGAACTTACGCTAATTTTCATACTTTAAGCTCCATCAGCTGTTACAGCCATCGTTTATCCGATTCTTCCACTTTCCACGCCTTTTAGACAGTTTTGCCCAACTGTTTGACTGATTCATTAAACTAGCTACAGGCAGGTCCTAAAATAACGTAAATATAATTGCGATTGCAGCTTGCGACAAATATTGATAATTAAGACAAGAGTTACCCTGTAATTGCCGAAAATGATGCACATCCCATAGCATACATTCACATGTTTTGTACTGCGGTTGTGTGCGTAGACGACAGACCAGCTACTTCGGTACGTGTAGAGCGGCAGCGCAGGAGCAGACAAAGAGAATATCCTATGCCCAAGAGATAGGACCGTGCCGACTTCTGATTTTGTTTTTATAAGTAAAATTTCATATAATTTTTTGTTCTGCACCTCCAATGGGTATATTTTGATAAAACTCCACTTGGACTTGAAAACGAATAAATACATAAAACAGGCATCTGGTATTTATTTATTTTCAATATATTTCCAATCAGCTTTATTACCGGCTAATTATGACAGAATGCAATGCATTCAATGCAATTGAAATTCTCATATGTACATAGTATAGTATGTAACTTACTTGTGTATGTAGTACATACTGCCATATGCAAATTGTCTTTAGCTTCTTGCTCCAACTTAGGATACGGCGGTTATAGACGAATAAATCTAGCTGTGTACTAGACAGGGTGTACTACAGTAGTACGACAGTGTACAAATAAATGTGGGGCCCACTGTATTATGTGCATATGTATGTATGTGCGCTCAGCTGGGTTGAGTTTTCTAACTGAGTTTTTCACAGTTTGGCAACCGCACAGCAGCCGCGCAGTCGGGGAAACTAGGTCAGCCGTCGTGTGCAGCAGCAAGCACGATGGTGGAGCAGCGCCTCTCCCTCACCTCACACTTGCACACTTGTATGCATATACAAGTGTGTACACACACACACGCACACACTCGTGTGTACACATAGTTAGTGGCAACCTGTTGTTGCTGTTGATTGTGCGATTTCTGAAGCCTCCCTTTTGCAGTTGTTTTAATGCGGCAACTCTCGTTCTTGTTCTATCATTTTTGGTATCTTCTCGATGGACGGAACTGAAACACAGGCGCAACAGTCGCATGCGGCGAACGCGAACCGCGTGGGAAGCTACCGCGAGCATATGAATAACCTGATGATGAGTAATAGCAGCCGTCAGCCGTACTCCTACAACAATCCTGCGATCTCCATGTCCTCGGTGAACAGTCACAACGCCAGCGGCGGCGGCAATGCCCCACCACCATTGGTTCGTTCCGCTGCCGGCCAGAATGCCAATCACATGTAAGTGCCCACCACATTCGTCTATCGATTGTTGTTATTACCCTCCTATCCTATTTATTTTCTGCTAATAGTAAGCAAACAAAAAAAATATTAAAAATACAAAAAAAAAAAAAAAAAAATAGAAAAAAAAATCTCATTTACGTACTATACTATTTGATTTTGCTTTCCTTAATGATATGTACTACATTGATTACATTTACGACGTTAATTTTGTTGAATCTCGATGCAAATGCGCAGAAATTGTGTTTTTCAAATTTTGTTGTAATTCGTTTTTGCCAATCAACCTTACTCTATCATTTTTCTTGCTGTTGTTTTATTTACACATAGCAATGGGTCTAAGTGGTCGAGTTCTCAATGTCTCAATTTCGAAGCGAAGGGTTGGGGTTATACATCGATTATAACCGATCGATAAATTAAAATTTGTTCTCCTGTTCCTATAGCTAGCTGTAGCTGCTCAATGCTCAATGACAAAATTCGGATATCCCTGAGTGACGAGACGTACAAGAGACATTGAGAAATCGCCGCTTGAGCTATAATTGTTCTGCCACTAGGGTGCCACATGACATATAAAGACAGTCAATATTATTTTTGCTCTTTCTTTATTCTCTTACCTAATGCACCGATTGTTTTTTGGATCATCCTCAATGTTAGATATAATGAAACAAAATGATAAAAACACACAAAAGAAATATAAAGCTACCGATATTGGCGTTTTGTGCACGCATTTTATTTAATTTGATTGAACATATTTTCAACTGTGTTTACCGTTTTACATGAATCAAAAAATACTATATATATAATACATATATACAATTTTAAACCGAAAAAAAAACAAACAAACAAACAAAAAAACAAATAATACTCGCTCCACGCATAACTTCTCGCTGTCTCTGTCTTTGTCTCTCTCACTCTCTCTCTCTGCTCTTTGTTTGCCTTGTAAAGTCATGCAACATTTTTTAGTATTTTTGTTTTATTTTTCCCTGCAAGCTCAATTATTCCATGTTAATCGTATCGTGGTTGTTTTAGTCCAAAGAACGAATATTAGTATCACATCACCAACATAAAAAACCGAAAAACCAACCGATTATTACCGTTACGACTTGGCGCTTTTGCGATTAAAAGTACAGTCGACTTTTCAAGGACAACGCGTCTACACAGTTTATGTTATGTTTTTCAAAATAAAATAATTTTCCAAAACCGCAAAATCAGCCAAAATCAAATGACCGCAATACCAGCAAGCCCGACCTTTTGCACCTCAGTACGTTTCGTTTTCGGTTCTCCACATTAGGGTGACTCAAGCGAGGCTATACCCCAAAACAGAATAAATCAGATCGGTTTCGGTATCGGTATCGGTATCGGGAGAGCGACTGGGAGTATATTGCACATACATAAATATGTATAACATTGGGAACGATTCCGACTAACGATATGCCCGAGCCAAGTCCCCAGTAGAACTAAACTAAAATCGACTTAAATTAAACTCAACAAGCACACACACACACACACACACACACGTACACTTACACTTACACACACACTCATACATATATCATTTTGTAGAGTTTTTGTTTATTTTGGAAAAGATTTTTTGATGGTACCCCTAGATATTGCATGTCCCTTAACTTTCCCTTTTTGATGTTGCTCAACCCGAATGAACCGAACAAGAAATAATACAAAATCTAAAAATCTATGTAGAATACATTTCTCTATAAATACATACATACATATATATACATATAAAATATTAGTTGTATTAGTTTTCGAGATGATTTTTTTTGTCTTTGGTTGTTTTATTTATATTTGTTTCTTGCTGTACAATTCTGTTTATTCCTTTCCCCTACCCCAACTGCTTCTTTCTTTGTATTGTACAATATTAAGCTCAATAATTTTTAATATCCTTTGGAGAGATCGAATGTCAAAAGAGGAAGAACAACATATTTTGAAAAACATAAATTCGCATATTCAAATGAGAAATCAATGAAATAATAATGTTTTTACATATATCGCTATATATATATATTTATATATAATATGCAACAAACATATCTACATTTATTTAATGGCTGTGTGTACTGACTACCTCTAATGAAATCGCGCGCACACACTCTTCACACACACCTTCAACATATACACACACCCAAACACACGCAAATACACTTACGCATACCGATGACTCACGACCTGAGACGAACGATGAATGGACGGATGGATGGACGGACGGACGGACGGACGGTTGGGACAGAAAAAACAAAAGCAACAAAAGCAACAACGACAACGAGAACGAGAACAGAAACAGGTCTTTTGGTGGTGGTGGCAGGTTTTAACCCCGTTTCGCCCCACGCGTCCCCATCATTTCGTCTCCCCCTTACACACAACACACACACACAGTTAAAAATCCTAGATACATTATATCTACATACAAATATATATATATATATATATATATACATAATGCGTGTAGAAATTGATACGATATTCATCGTTTCAAACGCAACGGTAAAGAAAGCAGGAGAGCAGCAGTAAAAGTTGAGCGAAAGTTTGGCAAACTTAGGGAGAAGAGAATAATTTAAAGAGAGAGAGAGAGCTTTCTGAAAGCTTGTCATATTGATCACACACACACACACACACACACAACTAGCATACACAGAACCACACACACAAATACTCACGCACATATTCAATGTTCATTACAAAAAAAAAGTATTTGGCAAAAATAAAAACAGAGAGAAAAGAAAGAGCGAGAGCAACAATAATAATAATAATAATAATAATAATAAGAACAAAAAAACAACAAAAACCACAACGAGCCCTCCAGCGCCGGCGCCCCACGAGTAAATAAACAATTCGACTAACCTGAACTACGGGAAAACCAGGAAGGTAAAGAAAAACCACAAGAGAACAACCGCAAGAAAGAAACAAAGAAGACAAACCGCAAAGAGAAGGCGAGAGACAAAGAGTGAAGTAAAGAGAAGCAAAAGAAGAACAAACCCCGCAAGAAGGAGAAGTAAAAGAAGAAAGAAAAACCCGACGAAGAATTAAAAGAAGATGAACTAAAGGGAGACTTGCGCTGCCACAACAGAGAACAGGAAGAACAAGATGCAAAACCAGAAAAAAGCAAATAAAGACAGGTGCCATTCAAAGCGAACACAAACGCAAATGCAAATAAAAAAAAAATTTACAACACAAGTTGTATCTTAACCTAGAAATTGTAAACTCTTGGCTGATAGGATCCCATACCCGTCCCATTCTTTTCGATTTCTGTTTGTCCAGAATATGATATGTATTGTGTGTGTGTGTGTACTTAACGGTTAGCTAGAGATGAATAAAAACATTCTGCTGAAAGAAAACAAAAACAAAAAACAAAACGTGCAACTATGTACATATGTATGTATGTACATATATGGCACGAGTATATATATATATATATACATGGGAATGTTCAAATGAGAAATCAGAACGGCAATGCGAGCAAACAGAACAATTACAACAAAAATTGAAAAAAAAAAAAAAATGTAAATGTAAAAGCAGTTCAAAAAATAATTAAAAGTTGACCAAATGAAATTGTAATGTAAATCAAATTTAAAAGAAAATCTTAAATTATATACATTTTTAATAAAACTTTTACAAAAAAAAAAAAAAAATAATAATAAAAAATTTAAGACCAGAGAGCTCTCTCCAACAGAGGTACATCACTTATGTATTATATATAATGTTTCTAGGTCAAATGTCGAGCAATCACTGGTGCAACAACAGCAACAACAACAGCAACAGCAACAACAACAACAACAACAACAACAACAACAACAACAACAACAACAACAGCAAAAGACTCAACAACAACAACAACGACACCAACCACACCAACCACACCAAAACAGCACATTCAACAACAACCACGTACAACAACAACACACTCCACACCACAGCCAAAACCAAAACCAAAACCAACAATCACACCAACAGAACAACCAGAACAAGAATCCCCACAACACCCATAACACCAACCACAATAATAGTACATACAATCATTCCGGCCACGCTCTTGCCAAAAGCCTCAGCAACCACAGCGGCGGCGGGATAAAGAAAAGTACCTCCTCCTCCTCCTGCGCCTCCACCAATGTCAACGCCAACGCCAACGCATCCCAATCTGCCGCTGCCATGGCAGCCGCGGCCGGCTATGTTCAGGCCCTGTTCGGCGGAGTTGCCACCGGTGGAGGCAACACGGGCAACTCCTTCAACTACAACCTGCCTTCGACTAGGGCGGACTACACGAACCTGGCCCTGTGGAATCAGCTGACGCCCGCCCAGCGCCTGCTATTCAGCCAGCAGCTGAAGGGTTGCTCCAGTGGTGGTGGTGGAGGTGGCGGTGCTGCAGCCAGTGCAGCCAGTGGTGGCTCTCATCCAGTAATCGCAGGTGTTGGAGCGGGCAGTTCAGCCCTGGGGCAGAAGAGCTTTCCGGCGCTGCCTTCCCTGCCGCTGGACACGGACTTGATAACGATGCTGGACTACAACAATCCCAACAAATCTTCCTCCGTCACGGCCAGCAAGAGCTCCAAGTCTGGCAGCGGCAGTGGCAATGGAGTGTCAGTGGTGGAGGTGGTGGAGTGACCTTTACGAAACCCAATGTCCCGCCACTGATACCAGATGGAGGCGGCGGCGGAGTTGGAGTGGGAGCTGAGCAGATGAGCTCCGGCAAGAGTCGCAGAGGAGTAGGAGGAGGAGGAGGCGATGGCTCCGGAGGGGCCACCACAATATCACTGAACTCCACCCAGGCGCTCGAGGACTTCGAGAAGAAGCTGAAGATGACGGACGAGATGCGGGCTGTCATCCAAAAGGTCCTGGCCAATCCCGATCTCTCCACCTTCATCCAGACGAATGCAGCGGCAGCCTCCAACCATGGGCAGGGGCACCTGGTCCCCTCCTATATTTCGCCGCCCATGTCCCCATCGGTGGGCGTGGGTATGGGCGGCATGGGAGGGTCCCTGGGCATTGGCGGTGTAACCACCTTGTCCCTGGCCTCCAATCCGAATGTGACCATCACGCCACAGCTGCCGGGGCACTTCCTGCACTCGCCCTCCAGCTCCTGTTCGAGCTCGAGTGCCTCTACTACGGCCGCCTCGCCGCTCGGCAATGGTCAGGGCCAGGCTCCGGGTGGTGTGGCCGGAGGTGCCGCCACACTGGGAAAGGGGGGAGTGGGGCGACAGAAGAGCGTCATCTGCTCGACCAAATCCAACAATCTTCCCATGGCCATCCTCTCCCTAGCCTCCGCCGCATCCTCGCCCCAAGGCAGTGCGGGCGGTCGTCGCGGGGGGTCCGTCAATTACGGGCGTCAGACACACAGCCATAGCCATAGCCATAGCCATAGCCACCACCATCATCATCCCCACACACATGCGCAACTGTTTAGTGGTAGCAGTAGTAGTAGTAGTAGTAGTAGCCACTATCAGCAGGACGGAAAGAATCTTGGTGCCGGATCCGGTTCGGGCACTCCCAGAACCACACCCACTGACGTTATCGATTTGTCCTCTTCCCGAAGGTCTCTGGCAGCGTCAGCGGCCTACCTGCAGCAACACCAGCAGGTGGCTGTGGCGCAGCAGCGCATGGCGGCGGTGGCCGCCCATCATGCCCAGCAGAACGGACGCAGCTCATCGAATGCCGGCGGTGGCGGCGGCAGCACTGGCAGCACCGGAGGCAGCAGCAGCGGCAGTAACTCCTCCTCCTCGGGGTCGGCGTCGGCGAACAGCGCATCCCTGCACCTGCAACGCCACGCGGCGCTGGCCCATGCGGCGGCTGCTGCCGGTGCGGATGGTGCCCAGCGGCTGTGCGTGATTCCGGAGATACCCACAAACAACATGAACCTGCATCCGTACAAGATACAGAAGGTGTGCGTCGACAAGCACCTGGTGCCCTGCATCAACATGAAGGCCTACAACGACTCCGAGCAGCTGATGACCCTCATCGAGTTCCAGAAGAACTTCTTCCCTTCGGTGCAGCTCGATCACTGCAAACGTCTGATCGAGGCCCTTGGCGTGGAGCTCTATAAGGCGAACCGGTAAGATATCCATATAACTAAAGATTCTCTAATTGATTATTCTCAAAAGTCGAGGACAGACTCAAGTTCACCGTCGTCCACGTTCACTTTGATCTGCTTCCAAAATTGGACAAAGTGATCAAATTTAGCAAGTGGGAAAAAATTAAATTTTACATTGCCTGGATGAGTAGATCCAATTAAATTATACTTCAGTTACGGCGGAAATAATAGCACTGTTTGGTACCACAGCCTTTAATGTTTCAAAAAAGTATCTCTAACCAAAATATTTTGCAGTCTACAGTAATATCAATTGGGTGGGTTTACATGTCTCCTCTTTGGTAGAAGTTCCTAACGATTCTTATTACTTTAGGCAAATTTCCATAAAAAAGAAGCGAAATGGGACGGCAACAAAAATATCACTACATTTTTTTTAATTTTTTTATTTTTTTTTTTTTATAAAAAATTTTACTTTTCCGAGCTTTTTGATATTTTATGCTCTTGATTAAATACATAATTGGTGGTTTAAAACGATTGCAGCAAGAACGCCACAAAATAAAAGTAGTAATGGGTCTTGGAAAGCACTTTAGGTAAGAAATCAGCAAGAGGATCAAAACTATTATTTCAGAAGGAGACACCTATCTTAGGGTGAAGCCAATTGTTGATTGCTCAACTAAAATAATTCGCGATGCTTTAAAACGAGGAATAAAGGCCGCGATATCGCCATTTCCGGTCAAACTACTACTTGATGAGAGCAAGAAGAGGACCTTTATAAACCGTCCATAGAGCTAAAAAATGATCTTACAAAATCGCCAAAGATGAGCAAAGTTAGTTCTTGTTTACAAGAACATAAAAAAAGTGCCAAAAGTCCGATAAAAAATCCACTTTAGAAAGAAAGCCATGGGGCAAAGTGAGTGCAGTATGCGAAATAGCACTGGAATTGTCCCAACGAAACATCATGTGGTCAGGAGAAAGCCTCTTATGTAAGAAGACACCTTATGCATACAGCCTCCTGACTAACATATAAAACCAATAAACACTGAGGGATAAGGCATCATTGCATGGGCACGCTTTTCGCATTATGGAGCGGGTCCAGTACATGGCACAAATAGATGATGGATCAACATGTCTATGTATTAGAAAACAATGATGCTGCCTTGGAATGGAATACATGAAGTTGTGGTACCTGTGACTTTAATGAGGTGTTTAATGTTAAAGAGGGTATTTTTTAGGGTGTTGATTCGCCACATTACTCATGAAGTTTCCCATTTTCATTGCAGTCGACAAGTGCAGATCCTGATGGAGTACGATCGGAATTACACTGAGATTATGCCGCTCGTTCAGGTGCGCGACATCATCAAGTACATGACGCAACTGACCTTCATGACACGCCAGTCAGAGCAGCCGCCAGCTAAGCGGACGCGAACGAGCTAGGATTTAAGCTGGGGAGCACAACATTTTCCACCAACAACAATCACAACAAGTACCACAACCACAGCAGCCACAACAGCCACCACAAGCACAAGAGCATCATTATCAATTACAGCGGCAGAAGCAGTAGCAGCAGCAGCAGCACCACCACCACCACCAGCAGGAGCAGCAGCAGCAGTGGCAGCGGCACCACTGAGAAGAAGAGCCATAACACCGCCACACATCCTGGGCAGTGATGTGCTGCCAGCCAAGCGAAAGTCGAGTGCAGCTCTAGCACCGCCTCCCGCACCACAGCAGCAGCAGAAACACCATAACCACCAGCCAGCACATCTGCAGCAGGCACACCAACACTTTCAGCCACAGCAGCAGCGAACACTCAACAGCAACACATACGAAATGTTGTACTCCCACAACCAACACCCGCACCACCACCAACAGCAGCAGCAGCAGCATCATCAACAACAACAGCAGCAACATGCTGAGCAGCAGCGGCTGCTCAAGAAGCGGCAACATGCCGAGCAAAGCACCGCAAGGAGCAGCACTACCACCACCACCACCACCACCAGCAGCAGCAGCAGGAGCAACACTAGCACCACCCCCACTGCCAGCAGCAGCAGCAGCAACAACAGAAGTAGCAGCAGCACTACAGCCACCAGCACCGGTAGCAAAACTGCCGCTCAGAAGATGGCAGAGGCGGAGCACGCCTACCTGTCCAACCTGTACGGAAAGGCGGCAGCCAATATGCTGAGTCCTCCGCTGAGCAGCGCCCTGCCCGAGTGGAGTCTGGTGCAGCAGAAACAGCAGTTGCAACAACAGCAGCAGCAGCAGCAGCGTCAGAGAAGAGCTGCCCAACTGCAGCAGCAACATGTGACAGCGGCAGCACCACCTCCAGCAGCACGCGCACCGCCGCCACCACAGCAGCGGCACGTCATGCTCCGCCGGCACAGCGTGTGCGCGGCAGGATTAGCCAGGCTGTCGCCCGCCACCAGCCACTCTTCCTCGGCTGCGGCCTCGCCCACATCGGCAGCAGCCGCTGCCCTTGCCGCAGCCTCCTACTACGGGAATGCAGCGGCCGCGGCGGCGGCAGCGTTCACCGCACCATATCAGCACCACCATCACCATCATGCGGCTGCGGCGGCAGCCGCCCACCATCATGCTGCGGCAGCAGCGGCTGCTGCAGCGGCTGCGGCGGCGGCCCATCATTCGCACGGCCAGCCATCGCCGACGATATATCCGCCGACGCCACCGCCATCAGCGCCGTGGGTGCATCCTTGGTACGCGGGTGATGCTCCCTTCTGAGAGCGGGGCCCAAGGCGCCTGAATCAGCAAGAGCATCAGCAGGAGCAGCAGCAGCAGCAGCAGCAGAGATAGAAGCCCAACAAATATCCAATTGTACATTAGTTTTAGGGATAAGCTATTTATTAATTAATCTTAAATACGATCCACATTTTTTTTTGGAGTAGTTCTTAAGTAGGTTAACTAAAACAATTTCTGGGCATTATATGCCACTAACAATAATCGACAGACGCAGACAGCTGAGGTTTAGGAAGAGATTTAAAAACAGATATAGATAACCGATACCAGATGCAAGATGCAATATACAAGATGCAAATACGATACAAGATACAATATCCATACGGAGAGGTTACTGCTTACGGAACAGAGTGGACGGACAGATCGATGACTATATATGCTTGGATTTCGTATAGACATTTGCAGTAGAACACTTTCAAATGAGAACTCAAAGAACTGATTACAATTTATTATCAAAACAAAACCCACACTCAAACAACACACAAAAATGCTAACCACAAAGGAACACAACAGAAGCAGAACTGTCGATTTGGCTCGTTCGCTCTCGACTGCGCATTAGATATTGAAATGAATGTCTTTTTCTAGCAATATTTACATGCATATACAGATGGTATATGCTATACATTTGTAATATATACATATATCGTCATATATACCTACATATATACATGCATACAAATAAGTTTTAAGCCAATCAACAACTCGTAAATTGTAAGCAAGAAATTTAATTTCTTGCATTTCAAACTGCAACTAAATCTTAAATCTAAAACTACCACTAAACTTACAACTAAAACCAAAACTACGACAACAACTAGATCTAGATCAACTATTCGAAGTGAGTCAAGAAATAGTAATAAGTGGAAGAGAAATTGAGAGATTCCACTTGCTACAACGAGTATATCCATGCTAACATGCTAACGATCCTACCATCATCATTATCATCCTTATCCTCATCGACATCTTTCTGATCGAACGATCAGAGCAGCATAAGTATAAGTCTAAGCAATTGTCTAATTGAAAAATTTCCAAATCTTACCAAGTACATAAAGCTACAACTAAAAAACTGGAGAAGAAAAACGAAGAACAAAAATCAAGAAAAATATGTTAAAAACATACAAAAAAGAGATCGATCATAGTGTCTAAGAACAAAATACCAACAAGAAGATTAAGTTATATACAGACTGTATATGTATGTACATATGTGTATGAAATATTTGAATATCCGTTTTATGGATTTAATCAACTCTTTTTTTTTTTTTTTAGGTTAATTAATATTACTATGATAATAATTTGATTGGCAAATCAGACATATTTATTTTATTTGATTTCTTCACATCCTCCCCAAACATGAATTTGTGCTGTTATTAAAATATCTGGGCGATTTGTTTGAATGAATGGTATTTTTGTATATTAAGCATGCACCCGCAGACATACTCAAAGAACGCTAGAGCGTGGGCATTGAGCAAGGACTATGTAAGGTCTATGACTATGTATATACATATATTATGTTAACATATGTACATAAACTCGCAGTTTGTAGAGAAATCCGTAAAAGTATTTACCCAATTGTTTTGTTTTTTTTTTTTCATTTTGGCCGGAGCAGAAAAAAACCAAACAGCATAGCGGGAAATAAATAAATGAAGAAAACCTAAGCAAGAACAACCTCAAAAATGTTTTTCAATTTCATTGACGGCTGGAACGACGGGAATGTCCTGTTCGAACTGTCTAACAGAGCTTTTTTTTGTATTGTTATCTAGCTTTTTGCGCCTAACAGTACGCGAGTTGGCGTTTCCACTACAATTTAATTGAACAACTCCATGGCGAAAATCATGCGGTGAGTATGACTATCTGTATAAGTCCTGCAGAGAACCGATAACCGATGCTTGTGATTCATACTACACCGGTATTGAGGAGTAGCGGAATACGACTATTAGCAGAGTCTAAGCGCCAAATCAAGGAGTGGGCACAGGACAATTTATCGATCTATGCTATGGATCGCAGAATAGCCGCAGACGCAGATTTTTGTGGATTGAGAATAACTTATTTGTGTGTTTGATGACTAGGAAAGCAATCAAATTTTGGAAATCAGTAAAAAGAATTGAAAGTGCACGAAATGGATGATCATATTTAATTATTATTTTTAGACATTTCTTTGTAGAGTTTGTTGGAGTTCTTACTCACACCATTAAAAAAACTGGAGTTCTCCTCTATACATATACGAGTACTAATATCCAGCAGTGCCTTTACGGTCTTAGGGGTTCGCTAGGTAGGTAGGATTATCTGTTTATTTGTACCTTTTCCCTCAACCATAATTTTTTCGCGCTAGTTTGCATTTATCCAATATTGTCTGCGTTCTGACAGTTCATCGTCCTCATTCAGCACCACAGCGCCACGACCACTGCTTGATGTAAAGCTATATATATATATACATATATATATTGCCATATCTCTGGTGTCAACACCACAGAGTTGCTGGCCGGCTGTACAGTGCCATTAGTGAGACTTTTTGTATTCTGAGCAGCCAACTTATACCTTTAAAGTATAATTCTGCCTTTTCCCTGCCGCTCCGCTGGTACCAGTTCGACTACAGTTGGACTTTTGCTGTATGGGTTTTATGACTGTTGTCTCACTGCCTCAACTTTGAGTCTGGTGGCGTGCAGACATAGGAGCTTTGCGCCTAAAAGCACATGTTAAAGCGCAGCTTTGCGCTTAGCAGCTCGCACTGTGACTAAAGCTGCAGCTGCAACTGAAATGATTTCCGTTAAAAAGCTCACCCTGGCAGGGTAACTGTTTATGGTGTGTGGTCATCGATGCGTCGCCAGTCAGTTGTCTGGTCCAATGAAGTGCAAAATTCTGTTGGCGTTCATGCCACTCGCCCACACCACCAGTCTGACAGAGGGTGGAAGAGGGAGGAAGTGGACCACGGTCAGGACAAATTGCATGAAAGCTGTGTGCGCGTGCATGGGCAATAAAATACTTGGGGAACCAAACTGTGTGGAAAAACTGCAACAGAGCAGAACAGTGACAGCAACAACAGCAGCAACAGCAGCAACAACAGCAGCAGCGAATGAATGAAGTTTAAGGGAATTTTCAGTGTAAGCGCAAGATAAACATGACCCTTGGGAGGGGCCTTGGGTGTAGCAACTTCTGGCACTACTGTGTCCATGTGTCTATGTATCCATGTGTCCATGTGTCCTCCTGTACCCTGGCCTGTGTCCCCTGTTTGCAGTTTTCACCGTGTCCTGTGTGTAAAACGCATATGTCTGCCGGGCAGGATCAACAGAACCAACAACCACTAGTGAATATTTTTCAAGTTGACTGCCCCAATACTAAAATACCCTCTATTGGCACTATGTTAAAGAATGAAGGCAACCCCTCCGGTACGTCACGCGTTCGTGTACGAGCCAGATATTTAATATTGCGCTCATCCGAAAGTGCTGATTGGTGTTATGGACAAAGAATGCCCCCATTGTGCAACTACCACCAGAACCATTGAACGGGCTGCTCTTTGGCACGGATCCAGAATCAAACCTTGGCTACGTAGACCAAAATCTTCAACTTATTGAAGAGCTTAAGATCTATTTGTGTGCAGAGGCAGTTGGACGACTGGGACAGTGGCGGGACCATTTTGTCATCCCGACTTTGCAACCGCTGTCTTTCACAGATAGACCCTTGGAGGCCGTCTGAACGGGGGGTATAAAAAAAGTTGCCTTTGCTTCGCTTCGCTTCAGTCATTTCATTTTTTTCACCCCCGCTCCACGTATTGTGCTCCCTCTTGCACTCATTCGTTTTCTGTCTCCTGACTCCAGACACATATGCAGTTGACTTTCCACCACACTCACAACATGGGGGTAAAAAGTTGATCCTTTGGTCGGCGTCTACTCTGGCCCTTCCCGGCACCCAACGAAAACTGTAATTCCGACAAATAAAACATGGAAACCGCCATGCAAACAAAACAAACAAACAAAAAATGCCATGAAAGGCAGAAATTTGTTTAAAAATATTTATGAAATATACACAAATTGTTTATGAAGTAAGACCGCAAACGTTTCAGTTCGTTGGCAGGTCAGGGACGGTCAGCGCTTCTGGGACTGAACGAAATGCGATCTGTCTCCCATCTCCCATCGAGCAGATTGTGTCCTGGAAAACGGAAAGCGGAAGCCAACTGGGATACATATATGTACATATATGTATAGTCAGCAGATATGGCCCAAGGATTTAATTTCAGACATGCGGTTGAATTTTAATTTGAAGACAGCTTGCCGCTTGAACACGCTGAAGGATTCTGCTGAGTGTTCAAGCGGAATCTTTTTAATATTTCCACTCTTTTCCTTCGGCGTGTACTAATTTTTCGCTTCTCTTTCCTTCGACACTGTTTAATTAGAGGCTGACTAATTGATGAGTGTCCCACCGAGACGAAAAGAAGCGCATGAAAAAGCGGTGGAAACCAGTGATTGACAAGCGGTTTTATTGTAAGAAGAATGCCGGGACACTCAGTCGGTCACACAAAATTGAAGGAAAGAAAAAAGCTGATGGCGAAAATGGTGTCCTTGTTTTTGCATTCACCCAGGAAACTTTTGGCCGCCTATCCTGTGCATCACTCTGCCGTCTCCTGTCTCCTGTCTCCCGTTGACCACGATGTATAGCCGGGCATTATTCAAAGGACTCCCGGCCACTCCCCCCAAGGCCCCCAGACATGACTCGCGAATGCGTTTCGCTTCGCTCCGCTTCGGTTCGCCGCGCGTTGGTTCGCTCGCTAGTAAAACACGGGCGAAAACATAATGAGAATATAAATCGACAAACAATCAAATGCCAAGAAATGCCTCCTTTACAGCACCGCAGAGGAGGAAAACTCTCTCTCCACTTATGCAGTGCAGATTTATATCTTAGGAAATTTTCTTTGCTTCTTAAAATGGGAAGCAGCTGAAAAACATTTCTGTTGAATGAAACAAAAAATCTTGGAAGCAGAAAACAAAAGTGAATTCCATGGTTTTAGGCATTTTAAATAGTTTTCAAAGCACTTACACGTTGAAGGGAATGTTCAAGCACGAACCCTTTATTGTATTTAAAGAACAAGATTCTATACACGTTCTTCTATGTATAAATGGTTTTAATGTTTATGTTTTCGAATCTTATGTAAGGCCTGGAATTGAAGAATAAGAGTACGCGCGAGTTCACAAGTTTTCCCTTAAGGTCTTAACAGAGGGCCTTGTCAGGGTCTTTTGGTGTAGCTTTATATTTTAAAATATTTATATTATTATTTAATCTGTGCAGATGTACGTAATACCACGTGGAAATACTGGAAAATTTCGAAAATGGTTTACTCTAACTAATATGTGCCTGAGTACTGGAGGTCCGTCAATATTTATTTCAATATTGAGTTCTTTAATGGCGTTCAAGCTCCAAGTTTAGACATACATGAAGATAAGATCCTCCATCAACTAACTGAATGTCCAGAAAGGCTGGAGCGAATTTTCTTGATTTTTGATTTGTGGAATTTGTCGCGTGATTGCCCAAAAAGAAGATCGAACCTTTCCCTACGGAAAAATTAGGCTACAGATCATTAGGAATCAGTTAACTGATAAAGAACAACAACAAATTGCACGAGAAGAGGGCCGCGTTGGTATGTCACGAAAGTTTGCGAGTATTGCGGGGCATCGAAGTTTTCTGGAGAAACGTCTGGATCAATCGTAATCCTTAGTCTGAATAGTGACCAGTGCATTAAAAATAAGTTTTACTTGTAGCACTAGGAAAAATAAAAATAAATACAAATCAAAAAAAAAAAATAAAAATATGAATGAGGAAGAATGGGAACCCGTACGAGATAATAGCACGAAGTATCCATAAGCGTAGCGGGAGACGGAATGGGAGACGATCAACTGAAGATGACGTAAACTGGAACGGACTTTTGGGTATTTTATACACTGCAATTATTTAAAAAATAAATTTATATTAAACGTAGTGCCACAGCGAAGCGTGGCCGGGCCGCTGGCAATTTTGATTTTAGATCCAAGATACACTTGATGCATAACTTTTGCGTGGAGTTGGACAACTGAGAGCGGAAGGGGCTGCTCCATCAGGTACTCACAAGTACACACACACACAGGGGCCAGAACGAGTTTTGCCTTTGGCCCCATTAAGCTATGGCAAAGTATTTGTGGTAAAATTAAAAAATCATTTTACAATTATCCGCCTTTGGTGAGGACATCTGAGCATCTGAGTGTGGTTTGTGCTTGGGGGATCTGCAAAAGTTATTTTCATGCCTGTGCCATGGCATCTGCACGTAGACACGTAGATGTGGCTTACACTTTGTCTTGGCCAGGACAACAGAGAGCCCCCGCTACAGCCTCTTTTTTGTTGTTGTTTGCTTTCCCCCGAGTCAAGTTGCTGGCTTTTGTTTTTGTTTTTGCCATTTTCTTTCTTTCCCACTTGCCAAAAGTTTTCTCTCCGCTTTTTATCGGGCTTAGGGATACTCCGTATTCCTGACGAGCTTAACGCCTTTCCTGCGTCGGTTTTTCGCTCATCCTCTGAGGTAATTTTGCCCAATGGTTTTTTGGTAATTAGTTAGCAACTAGTGAGCTGTAAATTGCGTCTCGTCTCTGCGGTTGCTTGCCAAGTTAATACGAGGATGCGCTTGTGACATTATCGTTAGAGCAGCCTCCTCCTACGAGTGCCTGCGCCTCCTTCGACCCATGGCAGAACTTTTAGACAACTTTGGCGTGTAAGTTGGCTTTTTATATCATATTTGACTGGGGAACAACAAAAATTTTTTAGCTGTTTCGCACACAAATAATTGCATAAATTAAATGTCAAGTATTCCAGAACAACTCAACCAAATCTGGTACTACATTTGCGGGCCACCTTTTGCTGTGGCTGTTGCTGTGGCTGTTGCTGTGGCCGAAAGATCAAACATCAAAGAACACAAAAGATGGAAACTCATTCCAGAATTTGTTTGTGAACTGTGCTATATTACGGACAGATCTGGTGGACCAGTCGCCAGAGTAGACCAATGCTAATCGCGTGGAAATGCTATTGAGAAATGAGGCCTATTGGGGCAACAAAATTTTTGCATCTCAGTAGTTTCTGTCCTAACTGGTATACAATACATATTTGACAATACAAATGCAAGTTACAAGTAGCATTTGTTGATTCAATTATCACGGAGAGTGAACCACATATAGCTATTTATTTGTCTTGGAAGATCTGCGGTTGCACGCCACTATTTGCTGCAAATACAACGTGCACGAAAATTAAATGTGTAATTTTGATAGCTGATTGTAGAACTATGGAGCGTAAATTTTCAATGATGTCCTCAATGTCCATGTCGAGCGGCGCCAGAATGCGAGTGCAGCGAAAAGAGAGGCGGACCCAGAGAGGCGACAGTCTCTGTGCCGCCTTATTTCTGATTCTGCTGGTCACGCAGGTGGAGTCGAGCAGCGCCAGGGCAGAGCCCCATTTCTGGCGCACAGGATATTCGGGCGACGGTACCACGCACGAGCAGACCGGACAGCTGCACTTTCCCGAGGTTCAGTTCTCCAAGTACGTCCCCGTCACGAACTACACCGAGAGACAGAAAGTCTCAAACATGTGGGTGGATATTGTTTTTCAACTTTCACGAACCTTTTTTGACAAAATGTTCCCACTGGATCCGACCATACCGAGAGGTAAGTGAAACCTAAACCTAAACCTGTCTGCCTTTGGGTTTTTGGGTTGATATTGAACGCCCTTTAATGCTGGCCGCAGGCTACATTAAGTTCATGGGCACGGAGAACATGAAGCTGGGACCGAAAGTGGACAAAAACGATTGGGCGGAATGGCTGAACGCATACTGGCTGATGTGGGCCTGGGTGCTCCTGCAGGTTACTCTCATTATCACCATACCCTTCATAGGGTGAGTGCATTGCCATAAGTTGGCCTTCCCCTGCCAGAGCCTCCCAATATTCTCTCCTCTCTTCAGCGTCATTTATTTCTGCCTGTGCTGCTTTCGCTGCAAGATGGGATGTCCGGCCTGCGAGTCTGGTCTTAATGCGCGGCGACGGGCTCTTTGGGGCACCTGTTTGTGTTTGATCATACCACTGATCGGGTAGGTCAGGCCAGTGGGCCAGTCGCCAGTTGCCATAATTGATAATTTTATTTCCGGGTCCACAGCTTGTGCATGATCCTGTCGTTCCTCTCAAATGGTATGCTCGAACGCGGCCTGCAAACCAGTAAAGAGATCTTGGAGGTGGGCACCGTGGACACCTGCAACTTCCTGAAGGATGTCAGCGACCACATTCATCATTTGTTTGTGAACAACTACCAGGAGATGGAGACCCATTTGGTCACGATGCTCTTGAGTATAACGCAGCGCACAGGGTCCATCGTCCAATGTAGTAATGTGTTGACATATCTATCCCACCACAGATGCACCCAATCATTTGTTTACCGACCTAAACGACGTTGCAGAAGGTAATAGCCTGGCGGAGCTCGTCCGGATATTAACCAATTTGTTCAAGGCAGTAATGGACACGGGTCCGATTGAGTCGCTACAAGATCACTTGCTTCGAGATACACTCGTTCTAAGAGATGGTAATTATGTTTATATACATATTTGTACATAATCGTACACATATAACTTTTGAGAGAGAGAGTACCCTGAGACTTGTACTTGTACTTTCAAATGAATTGAAACTGGGCCGAAGCCCATAGCCCTATCTGTAGGCTGTAGGTTTCGAAAGAATCGGCTATACTCGTATCTAATTGGGCACCACAAGTACTCAAACACCAGCAGTAGGAGCAGGAGCAGCAATCAGACTTGAAGGATTAGTAATAGATATTTATTATGCCTATTATGTTCTCTACATATACATATGCATAAGTATGTTCGTTGGCGTTTTTATACCCGTACTCAAAAAAGAGTTAAGGGGTATATTGGATATGTGGTAAAGGTGGATGTGTGTAACGCACATCATGACACACATGACTGAGTACGGGTATAAGTAAAGTCGCGTCCCCAGAAGCGACTCACACGTTCCTTCTTGTCTCTTTTTACAGCTCTCCGCGGAGTGAAACGTAACATCAACTATGCGGCGGCGGTGCTTTGTGGTCATAAGGAATGCCTGAAATTTCTGCCCAATTTCGACATTAATTTCATGGACACATCCAGATGCCTACACTTGGACGAAGTGAATACATTTCCGTAATTGATGACATATTTCCTAAGACTTGTATCTGTACAGGTGCCGTCTATGCGAGATATCAGGTGGCAGATAATGGTGGAATATCTGCCGGAGGAGTGGAGAGCCCACTATTTTATGGGTCGTCTCCGAAAAGTGAGTGATCTGATCAGAGACGAAATGGCGCGAGTCACGCCCATGATGATCCGAGATTTACGCAGGGGAGCGCTTCTGTTTGCCGATGAGTCAAGAAAATTGGAAGAAATAATTGATGTCGTCATCAGTGACATTCATTTGGGAACTCTGCGTGCGACCAAGACTTTTGAGGATCTCTACGACAAGTTCAATGAAACACGCTACTTCCTTGTGCTCTACATCGCTGTGATCGTGATTGTGGTGTGTATCCAGGGCGATTAGTATCTGCCCATCTGTCCTATCAACTGAAAGACCCCCACTCCCACCCAGATACTGGCGGTCCTGGTTATCGCTCTGCTCTTCGGCTGCTTTGGAAAGCGCGTCACTGGTACGAACGAAGACTTGTGCAGCATGAAGCTGGGATCGTACGCCCTGATATTGTGAGTGCTGGCAGATAATTCTGGCGGCTAACACTCGGCTAATGCTAATACTAACAACAGATGGTTGCTACTTGCAGAGCCATGATCTTGATATTCTGCGTGATATCTGCCATGCTGGCAGTGGGCCTCTTCTACTTTATTATCGGCTCTGTGGCATACAAGGGCGCGTGCGCGCCCCTCAGGCAACAGAAGTCCAGTGCGCTCTTCCGCCAGCTGGACGCGCACATCGATCTGCGAAAGTTTTCTTCCTACCAGAGTGACGAATCGAATCGAGCGGCGGCACCACTGAGGGTGTCGTCTCTCATCCAGGTGTGCGAGGGCAAGAACTTCCTGTTCCGCTTTCTGCGCGAACAGAACATCTATAACGTGGACAATTTGCTGCGAGTTCGCGTGATGACCCCGCAAGAGAGAAATTTCGATGAGAGTCTAGATCTGTCCAAAACATATTTACTATTGGGGAGGGATCGGGACAACTACCTAACTCTGTCGGAGACGAGCATAGTGGGGCTGTATCACAGCCGCCTGTTCACCGAATCGCTTTGCCCCGAATTCGCCCCCATAGATTTGGAAAACCTCGGCCAGAATCTGTTGCGTCTGTCCCAGTCGCTCTCGTGGCACAACTACCATGCGGCCAAGGTCGCTTTCGAGAACGAGTATGTGAGCCTGAAATACCTAATGAGCGCATTTTATGCAGGTATACACAGAGACGTCACGATATTTGTTAAAACTCTTCAGGAAATTGATAAGCTTATTCTGTACGAGAACTATAACTTCGCCGATTCGATTAGAATACTGAGGCAGTCAGTTCTGGATACCGAGAAATTTATACAGACCAAGGGAACGGCCTACATTTCGACACTTGGCCAAAACTTAACCGCGATGATTGAGAGTCAGATCAACGCGTACATCACAATGATAGTCAACGAAGCAAACTATGAGGTGGGCCGCTGCGAGCCACTCAGCTATATATACGAGCGCGGTCTGGATTTGGTTTGCAATCGCATGGTTGATCCCATAGTAAGTAGCTCCCCGATTGGTTGACCTTCGACCTTCGACCTTCATCTTTGCATCTCTATATCTTTGCAGAATGGCTATTGGATTGGCGTAGTCATAGCCGCCTTCCTTCTCATGCCCGTTCTCTGTGTGGCTCATCGTCTGCAGTGCCTGTACAAGCAAGTCAAGTTACTTCCGATCGTGCCCGTTCGTGGCGCACACCCAGATCAGCCGAGGTTGGTTCTTTTTTTTTTTTAAGGATATTCCACTCACTAATCGTTACCCTTATTTGTCACATTTATCACAGCTGTCCGCTCTGCAGCGGCGATGGCAAACCAAGCAGGGTCGAAGGTGGTCAGCCGTCATATTGGTGTCCGAAGGGTCGTCCGGATGCTGAACAGGCGTCGTTTATCGATGGTGAGAGGACGATAACGGCAACGACGGCGATTATCAGCGACCTAGAGTCCAATAAAGACAGAAAGAACAAGCTAGATTAGCTATTATTAGAGATATTTATGTTTAATAAAATTTCCAGTGGCGTACTCTGATCCTGTACTCTGATCCCGTTGTTGTTGCGTGGCTTGGGTGCTTGGGCGTATACACCTACTCGTGCTATGCTCCACCTGTCCTTGCCTCCTATGGAGCCATTTGGTTCAGGACCCGCCTGCAGCATAGTAAATTCAGTCTCCTCTAGCTCATCAGTTCTCACGGTCAAATACTAGGCAAATATTAAATAAAGGAATTCCTTATTAACTTATGTACATACCTGACAGCTATTACCTGTGTGTGATTACATTTAAAAAATTGCTGATGCAATTTGATGCCCATGTTGCCTATGTTAATTAATAACACAAGGGTTTACCTTTACCTCCTCCCTTACGGATGCCTTCTACACTTAACGCTGCACGACGCAGAACACCCAGTTGTTACTACATATTATTATGTTTTATCTCTCTTTAACATACGTATACAGTAGTATAAAACAGTTTTGGATCGTCGCACGGTGGGGCCTTCTGCCATTTCAGCTTGCTAAATTAATAACTTCTGAACGAATCAAGATATCTTCATGAAATAAACTTTATTTGAAAGGAAAATCTTTCAAAATTTAGTCTGATTAAATGGGGCTACAATGTCTAGAAGCCTTACAACAAATAGTCAAAGTTTAACTTTGATTTCGGTGAATATTTTCCTGTTTGCGGTGCATTATGTGCTAAGCTTTGTTTTTTTCCATCGATAAATAAAGTTTAATGGTTATTATCATGGTTAGTAATCATTATAAGCTATAATTTAAAAATCACACAATAATAATTTTTTTTAGTTTTTGGGCAGAAAATTATTTTTATAAATTATTATTAATGATTATCCATAATAATTATATTTGAGCGAAAAAAATAAAACTCAAAAATAATGATTAAACTTTGAGTTTTATTTTTTTCGCTCAAATATAAAACTCAAAGTTAAATAATGAACATATCATGGGAAGCTGAGGAAAAATGTATACATATCATTACTAATTAAGTCAAAAGGAACGCATTAAACATCACTACACATAATAGTTTTTTTTAATTATATATAATAATAATAATAAGAAATTGTTGAAAAAAATACATTTTTTTATTATAAAACGTATTTCAAAATTTTTTTTTTTAATAGTCTCCTTGTAAAAAATATCTCATAAACTTAAAATTTCTATAAAAGAACTATTCTCCGATATATTTTGAGATATCATATGTCCAATGAATGAAATATATGAAATCATTTGAATATTAACCTCCTTTATGGAAGTTTTTCAACTTTGAACAGAATTTTTTATGCGTGCTCTTTGCATATTCCTTTACCAAATTCCTTAAAATCCCTATCTGCAGTTTTGCGTTGTTTGTCTTCTACATCGATAACAGTGACGTTACCTCGCACGAACAATTAGAATTAGAGCTGCGACAGCCCATTTTTGGCTGTTTCTCCTAACTAAAAGTCAGATTTTTTTTTAAATTGCATTTTTGAAAGCTCTGGAAAATTCTGTATCGGATTCGTGTATTGGATTTATCCAAAGCGTTCAAAAAATTCGTTGAATTTTGCCACCTCTTTGCGGCTCGATTTCTGCGCGTAAATTCTTGATTAGGTGCGGTGCATCGAGGGTATTTTCGTTGTTGGTTGCTTAAGCAACTCGTATTTTACCATCCATGAAGAGAACGTTGTCGTTGTTTGCACAACGGCAAAACAATGGGAAAGGACAATGGCAATGCAAATGAAGTTTATGCCACAAAGTGCCATGCGAATGGGTAGACCTGGATATATTTTTAAATATATTTCAGTCACAGGGACCCTCCCAAGGACAGCCCGAGGGAGGAGTTCTTCACACTGCCACTAAGCATAAAAGAAACCCATGCCCAAAACCATAGTCAGAACACCCTCTATCAGTAGCGTATCAAAAAGATGATGCAGGCGGAACAAAAGGAGATCTAGGACCCGCTTCGGCGGGTCCTTTGTTTAGACACGGCCTTCACACTCTCTTTGGCGATTTCCCTTTTGTTTTGAAAAACTAATGCCATAGTCATGCCGCATGCCGTTGACACAATACGTTAATGTTGATTAGGCCCCGCCCTAAGCACTGCTGGAGGCTGGAGGTGCATTTGCAACGGTTTACCTTTTGTTGTAGGATGAGACTATGCGCAATTGCTTTCCACTCATTGTATCTATTGCTACAGTAGGCGGTGAATGGAACCCCTTCCAGCCGAATTACCCACCTAAGCTGCAGATGGACTGAGCCGTTTGCTTTGGTTCCACTCTCCAATGCTCAAAAAATAAACATATGTTAAAAGGTTTTTTTTTACTTAGTTCTGGCTATAAAAAGGATCCGAATTAATCAAAATTAATTGAACGCTCGCGACGTATACGTAATGGAATAATTACCAAAAATGAAGTTGTTGGGGGTTGAACTGATTGTACTGCATGACTGAGCATTGATCAAGCTACGGGCCACACACATACATTCATATGTACATTGTACATCGATTATTTAAGCATAGACATACCGGATCTTAAATCTGCCTAGGCTGCACGGGCGGTAAAGAAAGCGTCGAGCATCGTCAGTACTACATTTAGTAGTACATGCAGCCACAGGCCGGACTGGCCCCATCATTTTTGCCCACACATGGACCGACTTTGTGCATAATTACCATATCTAATAAATCTTATTTCCATGGAGAGCGCACGATGGATGGAACAGAATTGGATGCAGGACACAGGATGCTGGCCCTGGACGAGCCAGAAAAGTTTGCTGCCGGCCACCCCGTATGTGAGCTTGGTTCTGGAGTTTGTGCCTCGGGTCAGTGGCAGCACGATTTCCAAATCTACCCCTTCACCACACAACTCTGCACAGCTCCCCTATCCACGTCAGCTTGTATTAGAAATAATTTAATATTTAAAAGGCCTAATGACAAAACTTTGGGCATTTCATACCAAATAAAACTTAAACTGATATGCCAGAGGAACAAGGGAGTCTCCCTTCTCAGTTCTGAGGGTTGACAGGAGAAGGAGCAACATGAACAAAGGTTCATAGCTTCGCTGAGGTTCCCAGTTTTCGGTTCCACTTACCACAAAATAATGGGAATTTGTTTAATGCTGTAGCCGAATAAGGAGCGTAATAAAATATACCAATATAGGACTGTAAGGATTATCTTCGCATATCCACCAATTTAAAATAAATTTTTTTAAAATTTATTTATTTTTTAATTTAAAGCTTTATTATTATTAAATATTAGTTTGATTTCGCACGGGTAGCATTTTTACCCTGACAATAGAATTAGACTATAAATCCTAATTAGCCGTATAAGCCACCGATTATAAGCGGTACTAAAATTGTAGTTGGTCAACTTTGGTATGGGACAATAACAGAAGTGGTTGGAAACGCCAATTTCAGTGTGACCTCAGACAATACTTCAATGTGAATCCTAATTTTGAGGACACTGCATTGATTTGTTTTTAAAACATGTCTTAATTTATCCAAAAATTATTAGTAAAGAGTGTTCACAAGTTCAGTTTCTCACTTTTAAGTGAGTGAACAACTCACTCACTTTGCTCAGTTGCTCACTTGCTCACTTGTTCACTCAGTTGTTCACAAAATGACTTTGCAGATCTTACACTTGGCCTTTTGGTTGTCCAAATGCTCAAAATGAACAAGTGAGCAACTGTGCGAACAAGTGAGCAAGTGAGCAACTGAACAAAAAATGTAGTGAACATGTTCAGTTCACTCAGTGAAGTGAACAGCTCTTTTTTGTTCACTCGCTCATGAGCAACCCAACTCTAATACCAATTGTTCGGGCCAGCAGCTGGGAGGAGCAGCTAAATCCTAATCCTAATTATTACACTACTCGACAAAATTTAACTTTTTATTTAGGCTGTGAACCAAAATTACTTTTTCTGATAGACTTCGGGATTTAAAAATTGCTGTAGTACTTTATTATTTTTTTTATGGTATAATTTTTTTTTAAAGAATTTTTAAAATCTGGTATTTTTTTTCATGGTTTTTTTTTCAGAGGTTGTGCTTCTATTTTTCACATAACTTAAGTATCTTATATCTGGTTGCATAGACCTTTGCAGTTCTAAAAAGCTAACAAATGCAGCTATAAAAGCTATCGCATTCAGCGATTTGATCGCAGCTTGGCTAGCACTATAAATATTTATATGAGTTGCCGTAGGGGCACGTTCCTAAAGGCAGCTCAAAGCTTCCCTGATCGCTATGACTTCCGTTTGGAAGACACTGCAGTGATCTGGGAGCCTGAAAGAGTGTCTTATGTTAAGCTGTTCGGAGTAGATTCCTCCTCCGACCTTGTTGTCCAGCTTTGAGCCATCAGTAAAGATTTGAATGGCTCCATCTGGGCCAGGTGGTCCCTCGAGCCTGTTGGTTCTGTGAGGGATGATTGTTAAGATACTTAAGTTATGTAAAAAAAATAAAAGCAATACTTCTGAAAAAAAAACAAAAAAAAAATACCAGATTTTTTTAAATTCTTTGAAATAAAACTACACCATAAAAAAAAAACCATAGTTCGTTAAAAATTTTTAAACCCCGAAATCTATAAGAATCTATATTTTGGGCCACAGCCTAATTCTAGTGTTGACTAGTGTTATTAGAGCATAGATATGTAAAGATGCATAAGATCCACTAAACCCAGAGCTACAGAGGTAATCTCCAGCGTTTGGCAGTGCTGCTGCGCTCTCCCTGTTAAGCGACGCTCTGCCGGCGACCTGCCGCTTCGGCTGTTGCTTTGATCGGCCGTCGTTGCCGTCGTTTAGTTCTATGCTTATCTCTCGCCGAACCGCTGCCGCTACTGCCAAGGACGAGCAATTGGCTGCAGCTAGCCGCCGTTTATTTGGCTTAATTGATTTTGGATAGATTTGGATTGAGCTTTGCATCTCAACCACCAATAAAACTATTGAGATTAAAAATGGTCACTGTGCAGACCAGGATATCTCATTGAAGTAACAAGAATTCCAAGACTTATTATAGTTTTAGTTGACAGAAAGGGATAGTTGCGTGAAGAATTCTAAGTGGATAG